TTTTGGGGGGGGGGGGGGAGGGGAAGGATGGTGCCGGGGGTTTGAAAGTGAGCGGATAAAAAAAAGACCTGAAGTCAAATTTCTGTACCTGATTAGTTCATTCTGTTACACGTTAAGATTAAAACAATAAGAATCAGACACATGGAAAGTGGGCATAAAATAACCTGCCTGGCAAAGACCTTAAAACAAGCGATCACAACTGTATTTGTTTGTTTACATGCAAAACATTTCCTCCCCCGTCGTCAACTGAAACCCACAGAAACTGATTATGCCAAAAAAGTGACGGAGAGAAAAAAAAAAAAATCAGATGAAGTTCAGAGAACGAGTCAATAAATATTAGTTTGCAAGAGAACAAAACTGTATCTTTGCCGTGCGTGTGTGCCGTAAGTGTATACACACACACACACACACACACACACACACACACAACTATACACACACATAGGTGTGTGTGGGCTGGGGGGTTCATTACTAGGCGCTTCCCCTTCTCCAGTCACTGAGTTTTCCTAATTTACATATCATTTGAGTTCAGTGGTGTATATAGTGCACTGCTAGTAACATGCAACTTTAGGTTTACAAGTAAGATCAATACAATACACATAACTAGTGCTAGATTCAAAGCAAAAATATAAACAAATGATAGCAAGAGAAAAAAATGCTTATTAAACAGTTGAAGATTGATCATTAAACATTAGGTATTTATTACTAATCGTATTTGCATGCAAAATCCTCAGAGCTATATCATACTATTTATATTTGTCTTTGCTATTTAGATGCAAAGGAAGTAGATCCCAAAACGGACATACCATAAACACTGGTGCTACTGATCATTTCTTGCTGGCAGCACAAAAAGCTGAATTGGATTTTTCACAAGCAGGAATTCCAAAGGTTGCTTTTCATTAAAGCCACTTTTCCTCTCAGCTATCAAATGTCACTGCCTTGAAACGTGGGCCCTTTCGTCAGGTATTCATTTAACCTACATGCATATAATTAAGTGGGAAAGCAACATCAACAAAAAGGGGATCTCAGATCACAAGAGAAGAAAGAAAGGAAAAAAGCACATGACCAGGAATGCAAGTCGATGTCAATTTCACTCACTCCCATTGAAACTAACAAGAGCTCCAGGGAGGATAGTAATAGGATCAGTGGATTGTATATACCATTAAATTATACATCTTTCTCTCTGTTCCAAGCCAACAATACGCCCACCACGCTGTACCCCCTCCAAGATGATGTGCTTACATTTTACTGCAACAGCTCCTCTTGACATATTCACGTCCCCCCCAGCTAAAATACTGCAATTTAAACCCAACTTTTGTTTTGCAAGGTTCTTATTTACACTTATTTACTTAGAAGTTAGTTCCCCAAGAAAGTCTACCCCCTGTTACCTCCACTTTATTATTTTTAAATACAACTTAAAAATAAATCCAACTGGGGGGGGAGGAGGTGGGAAGGGATCTTGCAATCGCGAACTCTTAATCTGCCTACTATTGTTGGCAATGATCAAGGGGAAGGAAGAAAAAAACCCCCATGCACTGCAATTGTATATCTGTACTTTCCAGACTGCGATTAGGAAAGCAGACTAGAGTATTTAATATTGTAAAAAAGCGATTGTGAATTAGATTCAATGTACGAGGCACAGGCAGGCGATTTTTTTTTTTTTTAAATATAAACGCATGGCTGTGCTGGATAGATTTAAGATTAAATAAAATGTAAAATGATCGTAGGAAGATTGCAAAAGATCGTCTTACCTGGAGATTTGGTATAAGCACCCGATAGGTTAGAATAGCATCGATCCGATGTGTTTGCTGATGAATGGGGGCTCGGGTTAAGTGAAGGTGCCTATGATTTGAAATCATTCCAAGTTTTTGAAGGGAAGACTGACTGCAGCCTCTGCCATGTTGGAATTTCAAACCCAAAACAGCTGCTTTGCAAGGAGCCAGCATGCCAGCAGCTGGACGCCTGCGCAGAGCGCCGCCGAGCCAAATTCAAATCACTTTCACACTAAGAGCCAAAGATCAGTTTTCAAAGGGGCGAGGGGGAGACACGCAGGAGATTCGTGTGCAGGGAGAGCTCAATGGCCGCGCTGCACTGGGCCCTGGCTGCACAGGTCATGTTACATGGCAGAGGCTGCTGCTTGCAGGGGAACATGCAAGCACAGGCTGGAGGTGGCCGGGAGGTCACGCTGAAGCAGCCGGGGCCCGCGCTCGCTCTCCTTCCTCCCTGGCCGCGGGGAAGCGGGACTGAAAGGACCGGGGATGCCCGCTGCGTCCTCCGCCGCCGCGGCAGCGCGCTCCGCGCCCGGCTCCCCCCCGGCAGCGGTGTCTCCATGTCCCGGCCCCATCCCCCAGCAGCGGGAGTTGCAGTCTCTCCAGAGCTCCCCTCCCCCTTCCCCCGGCAGCAGCCGCCTCTCCAGCCCCGGCCGCCGCTGCCGCAGGCAGAGCGAGCGAGCTGGGCTCCGGAGATCGGA